CCCCAAAACCCCAAAACCCCAGTTCTAGATACTCAAACTTAATATTGACAATCTGTCCATAATTAATTGATTTATGAAATAAAGATTAGAATGTAATCAAATATCTGGGACTATGATTCTGTGAGTTAAACAGTCCTTTAAAGACATAACACCTCTTCCAGTTTTAATAAATTTGTTATTGCTATCTCTGATAGTCTAACTTAAATCATGAAATATTTTGCTGTATCTTTGTCCTACTTCCTGATTATTTTCGCCTATATCTAGGCTTATAGCAAATGGGTCATATTCTTTAACATTTTTCTTCGATAGCTTTTTCTTTCTGTTAAACATTTACTCAGATTTTGGCCTATCAAGAGTGTTATCAGCTTCTTTTTTCAGATTCTAAGATTTCTATAAAACCCTTCTAGTTAGTAGCAATGGGGAGATATTTGTTTCTTCTCTTATCTACTGAAGATTTAGATACATTGGCTTAGTTAATTTATCCAAAGTTCTCTCAGTCATTGGTCTTGACAAAGGTTATAATTATTAGAGCTGCTGCATGTTGATATTTTAATGATTTATTGATTGCCTAGCAAACTTAGAAAAACTTGACATTGGCCGCGATGTCTCATTACTGCTATTGTTCTATCCTGATTCTATATCATTGTTCTTTAGGAAATTAATACCAAACTAGACCTAAGTATTTAATTTCTGTTAATACTCTAATTCCGATCGCATTTGGTCATTCTTCTTAGTCAATATAATTAGTTGTTCCTTCTAGTTATCATTTAGATTTTGAAGGCTATTTATTTCATCCTTCAAACTCTAAATGTTTAATTGCTAATTCGCAATCATTATGTCTTATTAGTCAAAGTTCTTAGCCTGCTTTTCATGATCTTACTTCATATCTTTGATTTCACTCTATAGATCTTCAATCTCATCTACAAGCTCTCGTTTCTTACCAGTGTATTTCAAAAGCTTTTTTTAGTAGTATATCTTATTCATCTCAATAAATACTTGCTTTATTCTTTTATTTGCAGCATTCTTAATTGCGTTCCCGAATATTTTCCCTCTTAACTCAAAGTAAAGTCTTCTTAAATCTTTGTTTTAATCAGCTAAATTTATATTTGTTTTCTTTATCTCTTAGTATTTATAAAACTCTTCCAATTATTTCTCCCTAATTTCATGTAGATCATTTGTGGTGTCATGCTTCGCCTTTTTATAGCTATCTCGCTATTCAGTCATCTATACTAATTCCTCCTCTTTTTCTTTCAGAAGCTAATTGTATTTCTTTTCAAGTGAATTCTTAATTTGTAAGTGATATTCTCTAAGATTTTCCATTTTTACCTTTAGATTATCCTCTGCATCCTTCAGGGATTAAGTAAATCTCATCCTTTAATTGATAATATCATCTGATTGTTTATTCTTTAACTCTGTTATTTGTCTCTCATAATGAGTAGCCTAGGTCTTAAGCTCGTGTCTTGTTTTTTCAGCTGTCTCTTATATTCTTTCATTGCAAATTCTTTCCTTAAGTTTCATTTCATTGATCTGCTTAAATATTAAGTCATAGATTTGGTTTTCATGCTTTGATTTTTCATTCGAGTGCTCTAGAGTCTTCATTTTTTGGAGACCCATCAATTCATTCTTTATTAACTTCAATTCTTAATCATGCTATTTCTTAAGATTTTAAATGACCAGTTCCAAGGCCTGATCATTTTTATTTAGCATGTCTAATTCTTTATAGTGATTTCTCTTTATTAAAGCAACTTCCTCCTAATGCTAAAATTTAGTTCGTTGTAGAATGTTATTAAATTTGTTGATAACTTTTTTTATATTAAGAACATCTAAATCTAGCTAGGCCTGTGATTCTTTGAGATTTAACTTGATTTCTTGCTTCAGAGACATTATTTCATTTTACAATTAAGAGACCTCAATTTTATGAAGGGCCTTAAATTTTCTGTTAATTGTTTAAAACTTCTTGATCTTAAATGCCTATGATTTCAATGTCGCATCTATTTCTGACTTAGTAATAACTTAAGAATATCTTTTGATATGATCAGATATCAAGTATACATCACTCGTCAGTGTGACCTTATAATCTAGCAGCTATTATTGAATCTCTCTTTTAAATTCATTGAACATTGAACCTCTAAAATTCTAGAATTCTTCTACGATTGTTTTAATGCTATTTTATCTCTGTATATAAGCAATCAGCTGCTTTTGAGAAATAGTAGATATGGTTTGTCTTCTTTCCCTCACTATACGAGTGTTAATATCATCCTTGATATGATTGATTTTGATGTTGTAGTGCTGTTCGATTTCTTTTAACTATCAGTCATTTTGCCAAATGAGATTGCTTAATTATTATCTTGAATCCTAAAGATCAAGTTTTAAGGTTGAGATATCCTTTTCGTGCTGGACTTGTACTTACTCCAACTCAGTTACCAATGATTACTCTCTTTTTGTTGCATATACTAATGATTATTCTTTCTGAAGCAATTATTAGTTTAATTTTTATAGCTAAGATAGCAAATAATCCAGGTCATGATTCGTAAGCGTCGTTTATATCTCTACCATTTTATATTTTTATTCAATCTTCTATTGTATTTTTCAAGTTGAGAACACTGTGGGGTTTTGGGGTTTTGGGGTTTTGGGG